GCTTTGGACCTTTTTGAAAAGTTGCAGGACTCCACGCCTCCCCTTTGAGTTTGACCAGTGGCCTTCTTGGCACAATCCTGCCTTTTCCCCTCTGCCCTGCCTCTCTAGCCAATGGGGTAGAGCTTCAGATTCCAGCTCTGTTTCCAACCTTGAGCCACAGCAATGCGAGAGGCAGAATGAAATGGTGACCCGAGAATCTAGTGGAGGGAACTGAGTGAAGACATCTCCCGGGACCCTGAGAAACTTATCCAACGTCTCTCAAGATGGGTTTACGCGGCTGTATGATGGGGATAAAATGTCCTGGACAGAACAGAGGTAGTGAGCATTAAATGTAGCTGTATGAGGCTTCAAGCCAAGTTTTCTATAAAGCTTTGTTTTCCATTTCCAGATACTCTAACACTTAAGCCAGGGCGATTGGCTGATCTGATGAACCCATGTCTGTAATCTCGGCTGGTCTTCAGATGTCCCAGGGAACAGAAACTCGATGGTTGAACATCCCCACGTTGTGTTGAATGATAGACCATCTGCTCAAGGTACGTCTGCAAATGCAGGCATAGAAAGCTACTGTCTTTGTAAATGTCAGTTGACCAGCAACTATCTATGGAGAACTTGTGATTTGCTTTGGTGTTTTAGGAAGATTATTCTGGAAGCCAAAATATAACAGATCGGGGAGGGGGTGAAGACAAAGACACCAGTTCTTCAGTGAAATATCATTGTTTCTTACCCTTGAGAGGAAATACGTAAGTCAAGGAATATTAGAAAGGCTGTTAGTTTTTGCTCCCTGCCCTCCCTTTTTTCAAGCAAAAAACCCAGAAATAACGGTTCCGTTTGGGGAACAAAGGCACATCCCAGGGGCTGTTCACTCACTGCAGCCGTGCTCTCCCACACAGATGGTGCCCACGGTGAGTAACAAGAAAGCCCAGTTGTGCCTTTGCTCAGCCAGACCCTTGGCTGGGGACTTCCTGATTGCCAATCCCATGGGACCATCTCCTTTCCCAGAAATCACCCTACAGCCCGTTCCCTCCTCTGCTACTTAGAACTGTGGGGCTAGCTTCTTGAGCTCCCTTCACATCATAACCCAGTGCCGTTCCCTCTCCGCAGCCCCAAAGGCTTACCTATTTTACATTGTCTCTCCCCCTCTCCTCTGTCCTGCAAGGACCACCATACACCCTTCTTTATTGTGGTTCTACTCTTCCTCAGCTCACACTCAGAGTGTTGAAACACATCAACAAGAAGAGAAAGGAGATGATTTCCTGTGACTTGATTTTATAAAAATAGAATGGCTTTTATAAAAAGCAGCAGCAGCCAGGAGCGGTATTCACTCACCTAGTAGTTACTCTAATTATAGATGGTTGGGTGTCACAGGCAAGCATATTGAGTGACCGGAAGGTTGCATCAGACAGGATTTCTCACTTCCAACTTCCCCTGTGTATGCCCTGTGTATGCCCTGGTCAGCATCTTTAAATTACAACCTGATTGTTAGACAAATAGGAAGTCTTCCCATTAGCTGAATTGTGGCCTGCAATTTTATCTTACAAAGGATGTTTGATTCCCAGACCCTGGCTTGATTCTCCCAAGATTTTGCTGACTTACTGTTTCCCTAGAAAGAACGGACATTTTGCCTGGGAAAAGATGGACACGTAGGAATTCCAACTGGGAAAAAGAGAAAGAGTCAAAATCCTGTTCCCATTTCAGTAAACTGTGTGTTCTCTGCCCCTCCCCCAATATTCCTTTTCTTCTGATATTCAGCCTTGAAATCTCTGTTCCAAGAATGTGGAAGGATTAAGATGCCATAAGCCTGATATCCAAATCAGGAGTTTCCACTCCTATGGAACCTAGACATGAGCTAGGACTTAAAAAAAGAAAAACCAGCCTGGCATTAAATGAATTCAGCACCTCTGAATTTATTTATAACCTTTTCCTTGGCCTTTTATCCAAACGGATTTCTGGGATTTTTTTTTTTTTTTTTTTGAGGGTGGGACCTCTCAAAGTGGCTCCTTCTGCCTCTAACAGAAGTCATAAGCTGGCCCTCCACAAACCACATCCAGCCGGCTGATGTATTTAGTTTGGCTCACACAGTGTTTTTTAAAAAGAATTAGTTGTCAGCGTTTAACATTTGTACGTAAAAATATAGGCTTCTATGAAATAAATATTTCTATAAATACACATTTACATAAAATACAGATTTCTGTATTGTCTTGGGAAAAATAAAACCAGATGAGGCAGCCCTGGGATGTTATTTCCACATGGGTCCTTGGGGGATGTGAACCATTAACCCAGTAGGAAATATACAAGGGAGATCATTCATAGGAAAAAGTGGGGCTGGGAAGGTGACCTGTTTTCCTCCAGATCTACATCTCTAGGTTTGAACCTTAACTCCAATGAGCATTCAGTTCTACCACCTCAGTGTGTCTGAAACTAAATGCAGCTTCCTAAATACCTGCCAGACATCTGGTTTCTGAAAGCAGCACAACGCGACTTCTGACCATGGAATCGGCTTTAAGTCTTCCCGTCTTCTTCCCTGCCACCCCTCCTTCCTCATCAGCTGCCATGCCCTGAGGCTTATTATGCTCTCAGAAGTCCACTGGGCAATAGGATAGCTACCGAACATGTGAGCACCTAAAATGTGGCTAGTGAGAATTGAGATATACCGTGAGTGAAAAAGACACACGGGATTTTAAATATTTATGCTAAAAAATAATGATAATCCAAACTGGCTGATTAATAATTTTACGTGGATTACCGACTAAAATGATACTTTTGACGTACTGGGTTATGTTAAATAATATTTAAATAGTTAAATATCATTAAAATTAACTTGCCCATTTCTCTTTAGCCTTTTTAACATGGGGCCTAGAAAATTTTAAATGACACGTCTCGAAAATTTTTAATCACATTTGGGGTTCACATTTGTGGCTCACATTATCCTTCTATTGGACAGCGCCCTTCAAAACATCTCTTCGCATGACGTGATGAGGTGCTAATTATTGCTACAATGGCAGTCATGTTACAACACATAAATGTATGAAATCAACACGTTGTACACCTTAAATTGACACAAAGTTATATGTCAAATACATTTCAAGAAAAAAGAATCTCTCTTGGGTTTGTCCTAACCTTTCTGACCTTGCTGCCAACCTATAGCCTAGTTTCTCACATGCTTTTTGCTCCTAAAATTTCACATTAGTCTAGGCTTTTCTCCCTTCTAATCTGCTCTGCACACCCTGGCCGAGTTTATCTGCTTAAAACACTACTTTTATCATGAAACTCTCCTGCTCAAAAACTAACACCAGCTCCCATCTCTACCCCATAAAGTCCAAAGTCTTGGTAATAACAGCTTCCACTTTAAAAACCTATTGTGCACATTATGTAATTCTCCCAACAACCTAACACCTAGAATGTCAGACTTTTTGCTTTCTAAATAGAACAAAAAGGACTGCAGCATTTGCCTGAGCTGGGAGGGGAGAGGGAAAGCACCTCTGAGCTGAGATGTTACAAGGATAACACAGTTAAAGCATCCAAGCGGCGGCTCCTTCCCTTACGATGATTTTTACAACACCTCACAATCAACTAAAGAGCAATCGACATCTGTAGATGTGTTAGCTGAACTATTTTTACATCAGCTGAGAGGAAGAATAATAGCACTGAAAGAAGAAACTGTTATATTTGCATTTCAGAAAACCAAAACCAGGAGTCAACCAGAAAAGCTTAAGAGAAACAGTTCTCTTCACTCACCCACTGTAGGTCCCAGTTTCCTATATACATATATACAGTTTTGTCACAAAATAGAAAATTTGAATTATACGAGTCTGAAATGCAGTGGTACAACAACAACAATAAAATATCATTTCGTCTCAAAATTTGAAAAGCAGGAATTAAAAATTCGTCAGTAATTATATACGCGTCCAAAACTAGCAGAGCTACTGATTCATCAGTTGTGTCGATAAGTCTACATGGCAACATGTATTCATCCTGGGAAGAGAGACCGTTTGGATTCACCTCGAATTACATGAGGTTTTTACTGTGCTGTCTTCAAGACTTCATCCTTTTCATAAAATACAACATCCTATACCCATTTTCTTTCATTTTTTCAGCTACAGATCAGATAGGTTTTGCCAAAAACTGTCTAGCCGAGTCTTTGGTGCACGGGTTTTGAAATCAGACAAAACCACATTTTACCATTTATTGTGCTACTTCAGGCAGAATTGTCTAGCAGTCCGGTGCTTCAGTTATGGCTTCTTTAAATTGGGCATAATTACGCCTTCCTCCCAAAGTTTTGTAAGAATTCAACGAGATAACACACATTTGTTAACACGGTGCTTGACCTGTGGTAAGAGTTCTCAACGGGAAATGGATAAGACGACGTCCTACCTATCTGGCCTCAGCATCCTCCTGTTAGAAACAGTCTTCTAAGCAGCTTGAAGACTCTACGAGAGGGTGGGGCTTTGGCGTCCAACGCTCTCTACTAAACTGTAAGTTTAGTAGACGGAGTGCTAGCCAGGACACGGGGCTGGGTGGGGTCGGAATGAGCGCGCCCGCCTGTCTGCTTTGCCGCGGCCGCGACGCAGACGCCGGACCGGAGCCTGCAGGCCGAGCCCAGCTGCCTGGCCCTTCCCTCCACCCGCTCTGCCCGGCCGCCCTGGCAGTGAAAACACCGCCACGTGGCCTGCAGCCTTGGCGTCACGCGCCTTCTCCCAATGGCAAGCCGTGTCTCGGAGTTGGGGGCGGGTCGCCAGCAGGGCGGTACCGCCCACAGCCGTCGCCAATTGGCCAAGGGTGAGCCGGGGCGTGGGCTCACGACCAATGGAGGCCGGCAGTGGGGACCCCGCCCTGTCGACGGCTGGGTCCGCGGGACCGGCAGGAGGGGGCGGGGCGGGGCGGAGCTGAGCGAGGAG